CCGATAATTCTAGGAAGGGTAAGTGGGCTTCGATTTGTGTTTGGACTTTTTGCACACATATACCGTATGCTACCGTAATCTTTTGAAGCGCAAGTTTGAATTGCCGGCAAATTTCAAATATAATGCCTGAAGGAGTTGAAAGGAAGGAGTATGTTTTACTTCCATGTAGCGGCACGACAGAATACTTTGTACGAGCTCACGGTAACATATTGTAATGGTGCAAAAAGGCTGGTCTTCGCGAATTTGGCCGCACAGCCAAAAATAATTTCATATTGCAGACTGGTTTCAATGAACTTGTTGGAGACTACAATGGCTATGATTCTAATGTGAACCCTTCGATAGCCAATGCTTTCGCCACTGCTGCCTTTAGGTTGGTCCCATTTGGAAAAAATCAAAAACTCACTTTTAATTTTAGGTTCGGTCATACCATAGTCAATCCTACCCTATTTCGATTAGGCAATGATTTCCAACCAATCAGAGAAGGCCATATACCGCTCAATAAGGTAGCTCATTTTTTCGTCCCCTTGGGCCTTCTTGAATAATCGCTAAGTATTTCTAGGCATTCTTTGCTCCTGAACGGTTACTATCTGAAGGTGGCATTGACCCACTGCTCAGAGGCCTTTTTGCTTCTCCGCTAAAACTGCCTAGATCAGATCAGCTACTCAATATGGAGCTCACTGAGAAGCTTTTTGGACGATTCCATGAGGTAAATTCCGTACACTTGAGGTTTTTTACTATTTGAAAAGGTTCCAAAAATTCAGGTTGCGCAGGATCTCGCAGGCCTGAATATCCAACGAGGACGAGATCATGGTCTACCAGGGTAAGCTGATTCAATAGTATTAATAAATAGAAAAAGTAGACGGAGTTTTCGAAAAATTTCCGAAAAATTCATCAAGTGATTTTGGAATCGTTTTGATTTGTTTGAAATTCGCACTTTCTTCTCATCATGAAAAGGGCAGTCAGTTTCTATTATTCAAAGCTTGAAACCTGCGCTTTACAAAAAAATTCACATGATTTTTATACCTACCTCATACTTCTAACTCCACCCACTATCACGCCTAACTCTGGCTAACTCCGCCCTCGCCATGCGCATTATTGATTTTGGCCTTATTGGTCCTATAAAACGCTCATAGGCATTTAATTGACTTTACTAAATCACTTAAAGCAAGTGTGGATCCAGTCTCGATCCTTATAAAAGTCTAACTCACTCCAGATACACCGAATACCGTCGATTCTGCAATTTGTCCGTACCGGAAACATGGGAAGAGCTGGCTGCAGATATCCAAGACAACACTGTTCGTAATCGTCTCAGACAATTATATGGCCACCCGGGTACGCAATTACACGCATAACACAGCCAAAGAGATCAAAGAGTTTAGCAAATATTGACCTGTGGGTTGGAGGAATAGCTGAAAAACGTTTGCCAGATGCGCTGTTTGGCCCCACATTTGCTTGCATCATAGGAGACCAGTTTAGACGATTGCGAGATGGAGATCGATTCTGGTAATTTTCTTGTCAGGACCACCTAGCCATTTTGGAAACTAGGATTGAAAATATTTTGCTTTCAAGGTACGAAAATGACGGCGTATTTACGAAATTACAACTTCAACAAATCAAGAAAGCTTCCTTAGCCCGATTGCTTTGCGATAATGGTGACAATATCGATCGAGTACAGGTAAATTTCCACTAGAATCATTGTTTTCTGTGCAGGAGCGAGAGTAAATTTTCAGCCCAATGTGTTCTTCTATCCGGGTAACTCTACGAAATTCTACGGAAAATGCGAGAACATTCCGGAAATCAACTTGAATATGTGGATGAACTGTTGCGATTCGTCGTGTGCTACGTCACCACCACCAAGGTAAGGAAAGAAATTTTGTTTTTGAAAAACTTTGTAACGAATAACATAAAAATGTGCTTAAAAAATTATTGATAGTTATGTATATAAAAAATTATATATACATAAAAAGATATTATATATACAAAAATACATATTATGAAAATGCCAACCACTGCTTTTTTTATGAGAAAGCTACATCTGAAATGTTCTATTTACAATTTGAGGCGG